TTTAAAAACGAATAATTTGAAAGTATTACACAAACTTACTAAAGAAAGTTTATTGTAACTATAAAATATGCATGTTTTAGTTTAAGGTCAAAGAAGTCCACAGACACCATCAAGTGCTCCGAAATTGACCACTGTAGCCCTTGTAAATGTGCAATTAAATACGGGCCTGTAAAACAACGGATTAAAAAAACTTGTTAGAACTTTAAACAAAACATCAAGCAGCAAGATGGTAGAGCGAAGTTTCTACACGAATTTTTTAAGACTAGGTCAACAATTGAGCAATTTCTTCACCTGCAGCAACTTAAAAATCACAGACGAAAAAAAAGATTCTTGTAAAATTTATGTTGTTGCTCACTGCAATGATTTATCAAGTCTTGTGAACCATGTTACTCAGTCCCGCAAAATTTCTGGTGGCTATTTTGTTAAGCTCGGAATTAATGGTGGCAAAGGATTTCTCAAGTTTTTCCTAAGCATTATTGATACTGCTTTATGGGATGAAACCAGCTCACCGTACCAACAACAACCTCTCACTCAAAGGACTGGTAAAGACACTGGAGTCAAAAGACAAATTATTGTTGGGGTTTCAGAAGATTTGCCAGAAACACACTCCAATATTGAACAAATCTGGTCACTGATTAATTCAAATGGAGTTAAACTAATTTTGGCTTGTGATATGAAAGTTGCAAATATAATTTGTGGTCTTCAAACTCATTCAAATACGCACCCTTGCACCTGGTATGACGTCAAATCCAATTATCTTGCCAAATCTGGAAACTTGCGAACATTGGGCTCAATTAATTCAAGCCTTGAGTCTTTTCAGCAATCTGGCGGGGTTGTTGCTAATGCAAAGCTGTTTGGCACTGTCATTCGAAAGCCAATCATCTGCGGGCCTGTCAATGTTCTGATTTTGGAAATCATTCCACCAATGGAATTGTATCTCCTCTTAGAAATTGTTAACCATTTTTTCAAGATCCTTAAAAGCATAGAAGCTGTTAAGTGGCCAGCCGCCCTCCACATTTAACTGCGCCCGTATCACTTGCTTTGGAGACATCCTTCAGCCGGAATTCGCTGAAAAAATTAAAAATTTCAAAAAGTGTTACCTAATGATAACTGGTGCAAGCGTAACACCCTAAATTCACACCGTCTTCTATCACATCAAGGATTTCATCAGTCACAAAGGAAAATATAATGGTGCTACACCTCCATTGCATTTTGCGGAGGTTGAAAACAAAGTGTGTTTAATATTTGAAAACTAAAATCACTTTGTTTAATGTTTAAAAGATTCCATTGTTTATAATAATATATATCGTTTATAATAATATAACAATTCATAATACAATAATGTTAAAAAAATTCAAAAAGGGCAAGAAGGACCATGGTCTTCTGCTTGCCCTAGTCATTTCTATTACATTAACAATTTTGTGATAATTAAAAAAATTGTATTGACAAAAAAATATTATATCTATCTAATTGGTATTACACAATCTATATGGTATAATAGCAGTTTTGACTTTTGTCTATAGCTGGCCCACTTTACAAGAGTCAAACAAATTTAAAGAGTTGGTATTGGTCTAATAAATGGGTATCATTTTGTATCATCATGGCCACCAAGAACCGAATAGCAATTAAAGTAGTTTTTCTTAGTCATCATATTGAATGGAGCGTTGCTGAAAAGTTTTTTATTTCCTAATAAATTAGAGCAGCTTCGTTTTTGTTTCCATTATTGGAGATTGCATTACCGTTTTTTTCTTTTAAATGTGAAATTAAAATTAGTAAATAAATTAAAGTAAATTAAAATTAAAGGTATAAACTAAAATATCTTGAAATTTTAACCAATCTTGTAAACATAATAAAGCTTCCAATGTGCTTGGAATCATAGAATTAAAATATTTATTTTGAACTCTACCACCTGTGCTAAAGACTTACTCAGAAGCAATAATAGACAACGTAATCGACAAAATATCTCTTCTTTAACAATACATAACTGGAAATCTGACTCCAACATTTCTTCACTATTCCAGTTTGTCGAATCCTTATTGATCAACAGTCTATGGCTCATCTAAGTACAACTGAAATTCATTTTTTAGTTCCAAAGAAGAATGTTTTAAGGCTACATATTTCTTGAATTTCTCAGTTCTTTTTAAAAATAAAAATAAAACAGAAGAAATAGATTTAAAATACTTTCATTTAGCACTCATTCTACAACTTTTTTAATAGTCCAATTTTTTCTAACTTCCGTTTACCATAAATTTCCTCAACGTAGTACTTAACGCTAATCAGTTTTTAATAGTCCATTAATTTTTTCTAACTTCTGTTTACTTGTAGTACCATAAATATCCTCAACGTAGTACTCAACGCTAATCATTTTATTAGGCGGGTCCAACACAGATGCAATATATCGGAACTAATTTTCCGATATTTTAAAGATTTTGACATCATTTTTCTCCCCGTTTCATAGATAAACTGAATATGATTGCTGCACACATCAGTTATTTGTAAATAAATTTCACAAATATGGTTCAAATAGTAGTTTGCTGTTGAATTTATTGTTGTAGAGAAAAGATTTGTAATTTCGTTTAATATTTTTAAATAGTCACCCTTTAACATATTTCCACTCTTCTTCATTTAGCGAATATGTGTAACTTAAATCAAATTCTTTTGAACAAATAAAATCTTTCAATTTCAATGCAACATTATATAAGTAGAATTCCTTGTTAGTTTTTACATTTGAACAACATTATAAAAAGGTCTGGCACGAGTATAACGATCTTTAAAGTTTATTAGACGTGCTATATGCTTCTGTTGCCGATATAGAGGATCTAATTTAATTTTTTTAGCACTATCCCATGCGATATTTGGATAGTTTATATGGCATTGGATTAGGAAGTGATAAAGTTATATTAATGAATGTTTATTTACAAAATTTCTCGCTTTATACATTATTCCAATATTTGCCAAAACTTTGTAGCGCAAAGTTTTGATATCCCAGCGGGCACAGACGTCAATCAAACGTCTTACGGACGTCTTAACTTGGTCGCGACGTCTCAGACCAAATATATATATATATATATATATATATATATATATATATATATATATATATATATATATATATATATATACATATATATATATATATATATATATATATATATATATATATATATACATGTATATATACATATATAATATATATATATATATATATATATATATATATATATATATATATATATATATATATATATATATACATATATATATATATATATATATATATATATATATATATATATATATATATATATATATATATATATATACATATATATATATATATATATATATATATATATATATATATATATATATATATATATATATATATATATATATATATATTTATATATCTATATCTCTCTCTCTCTCTCTCTCTCTCTCTATATATATATATATATATACATATATATATATATATATATATACATATATATATACATATACATATATATATATATATATATATATATATATATATATATATATATATATATATATATATATATATATATATATATATATATATATATATATATATATATATATATATATTAATATATCTATCTCTCTCTCTCTCTCTCTCTATATATATATATATATATATATATATATATATATATACATATATATACATATATATATACATATACATATACATATATATATATATATATATATATATATATATATATATATATATATATATATATATATATATATATATATATATATATATATATATGCAAAGATTTGTAATATCATTTATGATTGACAGTACAGCATTTATTTTTTTTTTTATATATGTAGACTGCCAACAGACACTATTTTGTCAGAATACAGCATGAGTTGTCTAAAGAAGAAAAAAAAGTTTAAAGAGTTGACAATTCTATGTAACCCTGTCACTGGTATTCTTATTAGCTTATTAATGTGTTTTATTAATTAAAAATTAAAAATGATGTTTTAATTTAAAAAAAAAAAAATTAATTTCTTTGGCTATGGAACATGACATCTATTCAAGTGTATGAATACATGACATGTATATTTTATTTTATGATCTTATTGAAACATGTTTTGTTGTTTTTTTTAGAAGCTGTTTTTAAGTCAAATAAAAACTTAACCAAAATGAATGCCATCCAACTTATTGGGAAAGTAAGTAGGCATTCTTCTGACCGAATAAAGAGAACACCCACTAATATGGATTTCGATCAATGATGGCTTAATTAACTGTTGTATTTATTTATTTTTTTTCCATTTTTATAAGCAATTTTCTTCTATTTATAATGCACTATCGATTATATTCTACAGTACCTATTAGTTTTTAATTTGGAAAATGTAACTTTGTTTGAAAAATTATTCTTATTTTTTGTAAAGTTATTAATTCATTTTAAATATATCAAATTACACTTTATTTACATTGATTTCTTTTTATAACTTCTCTTGCCTAGATTAAGGCAAATCTAAGGTGTGTGTTGTAAATCATTACATTTTTATATAACTTTTAAAATAATGTCTTGGTAAAATTCAAACGTCTCTAGGACGTCTGAAAAAGACGTCCTTAAGCCTTTCATTTGAGACCACCCAGTGGGCATACGTCGTCCACACGACGTCTAGAGGACGTTACAATTCCGTCCGTCCGTCCCCTCTTCATGTTGTACGTCCTACGGACGTCTTACGGAGGTCTTTTATTATATGGTTTTAACTACATGAAAACAGACGTCCATTAGACGTCCGTAGGACCAAGAGGGAATGAAGTTTTGTGAAATATACCGTCCGTTACATAAATGAAGAACCAAAAGATCTTTTGATTTTCCATCAACCAATGGGATTTAATTAAACCCAATTTGAAGATTTTATATCAACGAGCTTGAAGTTACTTATTCAACGAGGTTTGAACTATTATTCAACGAGATCAGCTACTGTTCAACGAGGTTAATGAGTTTTTTATACTCATTCAATAATTTTTATAAAGTTTTGTTGTTCTTCTGACAACATTAACCTAATATTAAAAACGTAAATATTATTTTAACATGAATCGACGTTCTGAAAAAGTGAAAAAGATAAGGTAATAATTTAGTTTCATGGTATCACTAAATTAGTTTTATAATATAAAACTTATTTAGTAAATTATATAAATGATTTTTCTCTTAAAAATCAAGGAACAAGTTTTTCCTAACCATTAGGGAAATGCTAATTATGCCTAATGTCACATTAATGGGCACCAACAGGTTTTTTTCTTCTGCAAAACTCAGCAAATTTAAGCTTCGAAGCTTAATTTGAGAAGCTTTGAGATGCTTCTCTGAGGGCATCAACAGTCTGTCGATGCCCTGAAACTTTCAAGCATTTTTTAAACTTCGCACAATTTAATTTCACATATCAATTTATAAATTAATTCTTTCAGTAAAGATGCTTAAAATTACAGTAAACCTACTGAAGGCTTCAGTAAATACAAAAATAATAATAAATTCATACAAAATAGGAGTACATTTAAAGGGGTATTAAAGGATAAATTCCAGAATTTTGGATAATCGCTATAAATAATGAGCTTTTTGTTAATTTTTTTAAAAAGGATTCAAAATTAAAAAACTAAAAATACAAAAATTTACTATAGAAAGTCCCTATAAAAAGTCCCTATAGAAAGTTTTTGTATTTTAAGCTTCAGTAAGTTTAAATTAGTTTTAAGCTTATTTTGCAAAAAGAATTAATTTATAAATTAAATTGTGGAATTAAATTGCATGAAGTTTAAAAAAGAATTAAAAGTTTCAGGGCATCAGCAGTCTGTTGATGTCCTAGGAGAAGCTTCTTATTAATTAATATTAAAAAAATATCAAATATCCATATTTTGTAACAAATAATTTAATATAATAAATAATAAAATTAATGGCTGAATTGTTCCTCCTCCTCCTTTTTATTTTATTTTTTAATGGACACATGATTTTGCCCTTTAGCCACACCAATTTTAATTTTTTACCTGTTTAATAATGATTTAATTTAGTATCTCCCACAAGCCAAGACTTTTTCAAATTTTTTATGTAATTTAATTATGCTTATTTTAAATTTTGTCAAAAGAGACCGACATTTTCGATGGCGTCGTCGTCATAGTACTGTGCGTGCTTTATCTGAATTGGTTTCTCTCAGCCAACACGAAGTTAAAAATGATAGAGAAATTCCAAGTTTTAGCTCTAATGGACATAATAGTTCAAATAGTCAATGTTTTGCATTAAACTGCAGCTTTTCAAGTTCAGGCAACAATGATAGTAGCGGCAAGATTTACAGCATTTCTTCCAGTGAGTCATTTAATAATTCTGTTTTGGCAAACAGTGACGAGAATGCTGATATAAGATCTTGTGAATCAATTACAGAAAGTATTTCTCAAAACTCGAAAGAAGAGAATGATCTTTTTCCAGATTCCCAATTTGATTCTCTGTTTTGCAAATCATTAAAACTTTGGTCCTTAAAACATGGGTGTACCCGGCAATGTATGAATGATTTGTTAGTGCTTCATAGTCAAAAAGGCCATTCTTTACCCAAGGATTCTCGTACAGTATTAGGTACAAAGAATACACATAATATAGTGGTTGTTGATGATGAGGCATATGTATATTTTGGTATAGAAAATAACATCAAAAGAATATTGAGTTTACATGAATACCAATCGCAGAATATATGTTTAAATATAAATATAGATGGTCTACCTATATGGAATTCTAGCTCGTATCAACTATGGCCGATCTTACTTCAGTTTGGAAAGTTTAAACCATTTATGGTAGGCTTATTTGGTAGCAAATGTAAACCAAAAATGTCAAAATTTCTTTCAGAATTTGTTCAAGAGTTGAAGGAACTTTTGTCTAGATCAGTATTAAACATCAAGGGTAAACAATATATTTTATCAGTATTTTGCTTTGTATGTGATGCCCCAGCAAGAGCGCTATTAAAAGGCATTGTTAACCATACTGGGTTTTACTCTTGTGAAAGATGCACTATAAGAGGAATCCAAAAACACAAAAGGACTGTGTTTAATGATTTAGAAAAAAATGTTACTTTACGCAATAATGACATGTTTTCTAACCATTCTTACTCCTTTCCAGATAACAGTGGGAAGCGACATCAACACTCTTATTCATGTCTGCTTGCATTGCCAATTAATTTTATACAAGATTTTGTATTAGACTATATGCATTTAGTTTGTCTTGGAGTGGTACGGCGTATATTATATTTTTTTAAAGGTACATATAGTGGTATATTTGATGGTCGGTTGTCTTCTGCACAGCAAAATATAATTTCTGAGCAGTTATTGAAATTTAATGGAAGATTGCCAAGTGACTTTGTCCGCCAACCAAGGTCATTATCAGAATTGAATTGGTGGAAAGCTACTGAGCTACGTAGTTTTCTTCTTTACACTGGTTTGGTTGCACTGAAAAGTGTGTTAAGTAAACAAAGTTACAAGCATTTTTTGAGTTTGTCAGTTGCTATTCGAATGCTATGCGAGAAGAACGCTATTAAACGAAATATAACATTGAGTCGGCTAGACAGTTACTTAATTACTTTGTTAACAATTCCAAAGAGCATTATGGCTCTTCTTTTTGTGTATATAATGTACATGGACTGTTACACATTGCTGATGATGTGGAATATTTTCAGTGTAGTTTAGATGAAATATCTGCTTTTCAGTTTGAAAACTACTTGTATGAGATAAAACAATTAGTTTGGGGAAAACATAATCCAGTTATGCAAATTGTTTTGAGGCTAAGTGAGCTTGAAGATAATCCAACTTTAAAGGAAGGAAATATTTTCAAGATACGAGTTGGTAAAAAAGATTCATGTTATTTGGTTCAGAATGGTATTGTTAAAGTCACTGCTATATGTCGAGATGGAGGCTTTCAATGTGAATTTTATCCAAAATCTGCACTTAAATATTTTTTTACCCATTTTGTTGACTCAAGAGACCTTGACATATATTATATTAAAGAAAATGCCTGCTCCATAAAATGTTTTATTCAAAGAACTGATATAATTCGAAAATGTGTTTGCTTACCATATCGAAATAGTTATGTTATAATACCTTTAATGCATGATGTATAAACAAGTTGGAGTGGTTTTAATAAATAAATGTCCTTATAATCTTTTTTTTTATTCAATGTTATTAGGGGTGGGTGAGACAATGTTAATATTAAATGAGGCGGAGAAAAAAGGTATGGTTCCGCTTCAAGTATGTAAAGGTAAGTAACTTCCAAGTATTTACTCTTGGGCTCCTCATTTTTTCTTTTTTTTTCTTTACAAAAAAAAAAAACATTTTGAGGATAGAATGTAAGTACCATTACCAGTTTTATTAGTTTATTTATAAATTATCACATAGACATGGTTTGGATGAAAGACTAGAAATCTACAACACAAACATGCAGCTGAATGGAGCAGAGTAGCTGGTAATTTTTTATGGTCTCTGGCTCATTTCGGCCCCCATGGCTCTAATTTTTTTCATAAACCTCTGGCTCCTAAGGTTCCTGCTCCTCGCCCTTAGTTGTTATAAATATTTGTTTGCTTTCAATATATTCATACAAAATGGGAGTACATTTAAAGGGTTTTTAAAGGATATGTTCCAGAATTTTGGATAATCGCTATAAGTAATGAGTAATTATGGTCTAAATTGATTAACTTTGCAATGAATAATATTGCTTATCTTTTCTTTAGATATTGGGCTGCATGTGTTGTCCAAGAAAATGACACAGAGTGGAAAACCATTGTGCCCTGCCCATGGGTTGATACTTTAAATCAGCAAATCTTCTGGCCACTAAATGAATCTAAGTCTTTAGATTTCTATTTTAAACAACATGAATCGCCTGAGCTTACTTGGGTGACATACCCAATAGTGGAGTTTTTGCTTCACCAAGGCACTCGCGAGGAAGCACAGGAGTTGGTTGATTTTGCAACTACAGCTGAGGATGTTTCATCTTCTGATGATGGCAACGGTACTTGATGTTTTCTTTTTTCTTTAGATTAATTGCATATTTTTTACCTCTGATATAAAATATTTTATATCAGAGGTTAAAAGCAACTTTTTTTTCTTACTTTAGATTCAAAGAATATGAGAAAAAATCAATAGTTATTCATTAATTTACTTTGTATAATTGTATAATTAGATTTAGAGTTGTATATATATATATATATATATATATATATATATATATATATATATATATATATATATATATATATATATATATATATATATATATATATATATATATATATATATATATATATATATATATATATATATATATATATATATATATATATATATATATATATATATGTTTAGCATTGCCCAAGAAACACACTCGGACTTTAAGTCCAGTTTTAGAAGTTAAGAAATCATACAATAAGAAAGAGTCTTCTACTAATGTAAATTTAGATAGAAAACACTTCAGAGAAGAGAATCTTCCTGTCTTTGTATCATCATCTTCTTTTTTAAGTTCATCTATGCAAAAAATTAAGTATACTAATTCAAAGCAAGACAAAGATAAAAAAGCAGCACACCCACACACCACACACCCTGCTTTAATTGTATCACCATCTTCTGGTGGAACTAACAGAGAAGAACTTTTAGAAACCTCTCCTCTTTCATGCTCTGCTAGCAAAAGTAGATCATCTCGTAAAAAATTCTTTATTACTTTTGCTGATGGTGGAGCCGGATTCAAGGAGATGACAAATAAACGTATGTTCATTCAACACATTGATTTTTTGTCCACATTTCTATTTTAATTTAATTTCTTTTTTAGTTATAAATTCATTATAAACATGAGCATAATTGTTTTTTAGAGTTTCAGTATGTTATGTTAATGAAAATGGAACAATTAGAGGATAACCAAATCCAGATTACAAATTCATTAGAATCTCTAGTTGATGGTGGTAATAGTGATGCAAGTGTTGTAGTGGAAGACATGCAACCTATGCTATCAATTGAAGAGTTCGACATAGAGGAAATAAAACTTCAAAATAAAACATACCGAGATAAAAAGGTAATTATTCATAAAGCATTATTATCATATGCAACAAATACATTTTTTTAATTAACTTCTTAATTAGTTTATGCCTTTATAATTTTCTATTCTACAAGTTTTATTCTATAAAGGTTGTTTAGTGATTAGGTTGAGGATTCGGATGCATAGATAAAAATATATATATCTTTTTTTTTTTGCTGGTTTTTTTAAACATTCTATAAAGGTTTTTAAGAAGGCCATATATTACTATATCTACCGTCTAGTATATAGTATCGAACGGTTTAAAATTTATGAGCTGGAATTAGGATGAAAATTCGTTTAAAACAGATTAAAATGTCTAAAGGAGTAATCTTTGTAAACTAAATTAGAAGTTAAAAAAATAATACAAACTTTTAATGGAGGCGATGATACCTTTCATAATTGTAAGTTGTTATTACATCGCAGCCTTGAGTTGTACATAAGATATAATTGCCCCATCAAAACTTTTTTTATACTGTTTTTTTAAACAATTTTTTGGAGGCATCTAAATTTTTTGACTTTTTTATGTGAGTTAATTAGAATATTTCGAAAAGAATGTTTTCCCTGATCAAAATAATATTTATAACTTTTATTATATAGAAAATAGCTATAAAGACACTAGGAGGTAAGGATTTGCGAGCATCTGTAAGGCTTGCATTAGATGCTTTGATGGCTCGTAACGTCCAAAACCTATTTAGCAAGGATGGAATATCCGGGAAAAAAGCATTTTCAAAGACAATGCATTATCGTTGCTTGCTCGGTATGTATTTTCAATAATTGTTATTGCTCTAATTATAAATCGTTAATTTAAATATTTTATAATAGCTAATCATTTAATGAATAAATGACTGGAAAAAAAATCTTCGGTTTCCTCATCCAATGCTGCTGATCGCCATTAATACTATATGGTCTCCATAAAATTAGCTGAACTCATTATTGTTTGTTAATTATCATTAGTTATTGATATGTTTTCACGCAACATTTTTCTCATTTTTAGGAGCGTTTCTGGATCCTACAAAAAAATTTACAAAGGATATAATTGATTTTAATGTTTGATTGGAAGATTCGAAATAAAGCTGACAGTTTTAACAAAGAGAATAAACAACCTAATAATTAATGTTATTTTGTTTTAAGATAACTTATTTTTGCGAATAAATATTAATATAATATTATGTTTTTGTTGTTTTTTTTGCACTGAGAGAATTTTAATTAGTTATTAGCTAGCATTATTAATGGAAATTCGGTCATAAACAGCAGATTGCAAACAAGTTAATTTGAAAAAAAAATCTAAAATAATGGACTTTTATAGCACTATTATATACTGTAGCGGGTATTGGATTTTAGGACGTCCATAAGACGTAGGTTATACGTCCATACGACAAATTTTATGACGTCCTATGGACGTTTTTATTTCGTCCCTTTGGGACGGACGAAAAGCGTTTAAAATAGTACGTCTTTAGGAAGTCGCCGGTTCGTCCAGTTAGGACGTCTCCTGGTCCAAAACGGACGTCTACTGGACGTCTCATGGACGTCCCAATGCCCACTGGGCAGCCAGAGACGTCTCTAGAACGTCTGCATAAAACGTCTGCAGGACGTCTTAAAAAGACGTTTTTAGGACGTCCGGAATAGACGTCCTCAAGCCTTTTATTTGAGACTAACTAAGGATGTTTTACGGACAAGACTTAAGACGACTTACGGACGTCCTTAGGACGTCAAAATGCCCGCTAGGATCCCAGCGGGCACAGACGTTAATCAGACGTCTTACGGACGTCTTAACTAGGTCGCGACGCCTCAGACCAAATTAGGACGAAATAAAGATGTCCGGTAAAGACGTCTTTGTTAGGACGTTCTAGTGACGTTAACATAAAGACGTAATCAGGACTTTCATATTAAGACGTTCTATTGACGTCCTTAAGACCTTTTTCAGACGTCCTAATAACCTTAAAAATAAGTTGTCTCAAAGACATATATATATACTGATGGAGAAACAAGGTGACAAAGAGAATTAGATTAATGTTTTTACTAATTTATATATATACATTTTACATATATATATTTGTGTATATGCAGCGATTCTTTACAGTTATTGGCGTTAGACAAAAACCTTAACATTTTCTTGAACTTTACTTGTTTATATCTTTTTTTAAATTAAGCATGAAACTTGAGATTTTTTGCATTATTCAGTTTAAATCTATTTTTTCCAAACATTTATAGAAAGTACTATTTACTACATTATATACTATTTGTATGGCTTCACTTATATATTTTACTTTTCAGAGTTTCAGAGAAAAGTTATGTTCCAACTTGCTGAAATTAAAAACATTTTAGTAAATAAATCTTTTTTATATGTAGACTGACGACAGACACCTTTTTCAGAACGCAACATGATTGGTCTAAAGAAGAAAAAAAAGTTTAAAAAGTCTATGTATCGCTATCACTGGAATTCTCATTAGCTCATTATTGTGTTTTTTTTAAAAAAAATTTCTCAATTTCTTTGGCTATGGAACATGAAATGTATTTTATTTTGTGATCTTATTGAACTGTCTTGTTGTTTTTATTAGATGCTGCTTCAAAGTCAAATAAAAGCTTGACCAAAATGGATCTCATGCAACTTATTAGGAGATTAATTAGGCATTATAGTCAAATAAAAGTCAAATAAAAGCTTGACCAAAATGGATCTCATGCAACTTATTAGGAGATTAATTAGGCGTTCTTCTGACCGATTCAAGAGAAAATCTACCAATATCGATATTGATCGATGATGGCTTAATTAACTTCAATCAACTGTTGTGTTTTTTATTTATTTTGCATTTTCCAGTAATTTTTTTTTACTTATAGTATACTATCGATTATACTCTACAAAATATATTAGTTTTTAACTTGGAAAGTGTTACTTTGTTTGAATAATTTTTCTAAGTTTTTGTAAAATTAATAATTTATTTTAAATATATGAAATTACACTTTATGAACTTTGATTTTTCTTTATACCTTCACTTGCCATCTAAGATGTTTATTGCATATCATTGCACTTTTATATAACTTTTAAAAGAATGTCTAGGTAAATTTACGTCTCTAGGACGTCTGAATAAGACGTCCTTAAGTCTTTCATATGAGACCTGCCAGAGACGTCCATAGGACGGCTGAAAAGACGTCTCTAGGACGTCTACAATAAACGTCCCTAGGACGTCTTGAAAAGACGTCTAAAATAGACGTCCTCAGGTCTTTCATTTGAGACCAACTAAGGACGTCTTACGGACGAGACTTGAGAAGTCTTATAAACGTCCTTAGAACGTCAAAATGCCCGCTAGGATGATTTTTCATTGTTAGATTTTCATCAATGAAAACACCAAGGAAATGTAAAACTTTTGAGTTTTTTGTTTAAATTTTGTCAATATATATTTGAGTCATATCATTAGTTAAAGGTTTTTTTGGGGATTTTGGATGAAATAAAGTCAGTTAGTTTTTCCAAGTTAATTGATAGTTTATTTGACTTGAACCAACTTGAAATTTTAATTAACTCTATGTTAATGTCATTAAATAGTATAATGATATTTTTACCGGATAGAAAAAGATTATCATCAGCAAATATTACTGTCTTCAAATTTGAGGCATTGTGCAGATCATTAAAAAATGAGAAAAAGCAGTGGCCCTAGTATAGACCCTTGGGAGGATATAACAATTTGCACAAATTGCTTACGATTGCTTAGACAGCTTTTTAGCAAATTTAAGAAATTTCCGCTGACTCCACAGTTTTTAAGTTTTTGTATAAGAATCTTTTGATCTATTGTATCAAAGAC